GGCAGCTACTATTATGAATTTTATCTCTAAAATTTTGGGGAGTGTAAGAATCACAGGCATTCAGAAAGGCTGACTATTTCTTCTCTTGGTTTCCTGCCCATTAGTAGACCAGGAAGAGCTCTTGCATGGGGCAGCTCCCACATGAGGGAAAACCATTTGGCAACACAAAATGTGCCCATCTGTTCCTTATGCAGCCCATATTCATATGTTATCTTAAATGAGGAGCCGTGAAAGGCAGGGACAAGGGAGAAGGGAACATAATGGAGTAAAAGCAACCATTTCCCTTCAAAAGGACATTCATTGATCACCTTGGTTGAAACACTCCTGTACTCTTTCTAATCTGACCAAATGGATCACCATCAGCCTCCCAAGAGAGCCATTGATAGAGATTATATCTGCTTTGTGTCATACCTAACCAGGTGAGTCCATCAACTCAGTGCTCCCTTCAGTAGACAAAAGATAGCCATACTGCTTTTCCTTTTAATATATTTATTGCTTTCGGCCTACTTTTCTGGCAGTGTTCCAATTGGCATGAGCTTTCCTCCCAGATACATGATTAGTGTTTTCTTGGGAAAAGAGCTAAGCATTAAGAAATTAAATTAAATACACTAGCATTAGAAAGCAGTACTTTGTAGCCTGGGCAGTTCTTATATTGCTTGTATTTCCTCTTTTTGTTACTAGTTTTGCTCAGGACTAGTATTGAGTGAAAGTAGTTTGGAAATTTCTATCTCCAGTCAAAACCAAATGGGAAACAAAGGCAAGTATTTTGTTCATACCGTGGCAGAACTTTGACTACGGAGCCGCATGATACTTGGGGCCTGTATGGGGCACCTGGGTGGCAGTCGGGTAAGCACCCTACTCTTGATTTCGACTCGGCGCATGATCGCAGGGTGGTGAGTCTGAGCCCTGTGCTGGGCTCTGTGCTCAGTGGGGAGTCTGCTTGAGATTGTTCTCTCTCCCTCTCTCTCTGCCTCTCCCCCCCTACATGGGCTTACCTGGTCTCTCTCAAATAAATAAATAAATCTTTAATATTTGGGGACTGTATGATAATGAAAGTGGTAATTTGGAGACAACTCTGGAAAGGATGAAATTCCTGGGGAGATAATTCAGATGGCCTGATCTATTGCTCTCCATCACAGGAAATTGTCTTTCTAATGCTAAATTCTTTTGCTTTGTAACGAAAAGATGGCAATTCAGTGTTTCATTGTACTACTTAAAATATGGGCAGTTTTAGATTACTAAGGTGAACCTTGATGCTGTTTTATTATTTGTGGGAGAAAATCCTTAGAGAACTTGATTAAAATCAGCCATATGATAACTAGGTTAAAAAAATAAGAGCTAACTTGACATGGGTGAGATATTATGTTAAGCACTAGACCTGATTAATCTCACTTCACCTTACAGCCAATCCTATGAAGTACTACTGTTATTCCTATTTTACAGATGCAGAAACTAAGGATTAGAGTTTTTAAATAACTTGCCCAAAGTCATAGTGTCAGGAAGTAACACAGTCCAGATTCACTCTCAGGCCAGATTTCAAAACCTATTTTCAAGTATGTGTATAGACTGGATGCTACCTACTCCTAATTGTTCCAAAAGAGAACTGAAAGACATAGGTACCTTATACATGAAGAATAATGGTTTGTTGGCATGCTTACATTAACTGCCTCTACTACTCTGCTTGTCAAATTGCATACTGAAAAAGTATCCTAAAATAATTATATGTAAAAATATGAAATGGAAACAATCCAAACCCACAAACCATATTTTCTATTCTGTGGTTATGCTCAAATAGAAAGGGATATTATAACTTATAAAGAAAGCAGAGAGTTTTTTGAAAAACATTCTCCAAGAGTATAAAACAATTGTTTTAGTATTTTGAGTAAAATAAGCACATTTTAAAACTTAGAGTAGGTGAAACTGGTTTCAGGTTAACATTTGAAAAAACACCTGGATATTTTTAGGGTTTTATTTAAACAATGTGTTTACCAAGTACATATTTTGGTTTTCATTTACCAATTGATTTTATTCATACTGATGAACTTACATGTGTTAATGAATATGTTTAGAGAAAACAATATGCATCACTAGAAAAATTTAAGCATCTTTACCACTAGACATTGATAGAAAACATATGTCAGATAGCATCTGTCTGCATTTAAGTTGCACAGAATCTGGAGGAAGAAATGGAAGAAACTGAAACAATAGCCATAGGCTAATATTATAGATAGTTGGACAAATTTACACAACACAAAGTGAATTTATTTTGCAATGGTTCAGTTCAACAGAACAATGTGAACAGCTAAACTGGATATCAGGGTTTCCAAAGCAGAAGTCTTTGGTTTGAATTATATAGGGTGGATTATCAATGTTGACCATATTTTGTAAAACACTCAAAATAAGTTTTATGTCTCTGTTTTGAAATGATTTCATGTATCGTATTAAGTATTTGTTTGGTTTTTATATTAAATATTTTATTCGTAATAGGATTTCATTTTATTTCAAAATTTTGCCCATAGTATGGCATTATTTTGGTTCTCAAAGGGGAAAATGCAATATATCCATTTATCACAGAGTAAGAGAGTAAGAAGCAATTTCTTTTTTGCTGGTGGACTCACAATAACTACATCTTTAGAAGAACGTAGATGCCAGAAGCTCATTTTTAGGTCCTTACCTTTCAAACCAGATTGAGGTGGGAGCAGTCATCAGAAAAAGTGGGAATTCTGAGAGGAACAGAAATATACACTATCATAGAGGAGAAAAGGAAGTTTAAGTGTACACAAAGAAAATTAAAATTGTTTTCAACTAACTACAGTTAGCATTTCATTTTACATATTTTTAACCTTTGCACATGTGAATATTACAAACACCCATAGTCATAATATAAATGCTACTCATTTTGCATTCCTTAGCTCATCTTTAGGCTCTTCTATCATGAATTGCTATTTTTAAAAGCCTTATTTGGTGTTTGTTTTCCTTCGTTCCAATTTACTCTTTACAAACATTTCTTATTTGCTGTCTAAGCAAACTCTCCCAGTGTTTTGGTCATCATTTGAAAACTATGAAATTTTGTTGTTTATATATTATGTCTTAACCAATGGACCTGAACCAATGTTCCAGCAGAAAAGGGCAAAATAGCCCAGCTAAGGAAAACATTTTTTATTTTATTTTTCCCATGGTGGTAGCTGAGTTATTCAAATTCTGTTATGAAAAAAGTACATATTTGCATGGGTAGGCAGTTTTCCCCTAAACAATAGTTGGCACTCCACAGACACAGAGTAAGCTCAAGGAAGGCATTTAAAACTAAGACCAGGTAGACAAATTTTATATGTTCATAATGTGAAGAGTGACCAATTACAAAAAAACAAACCATTCATGATACAAATGATCTGAAAAGAATATTCTTTACTAAACCTCTTCTCACATTCATTAATTTTGTTTGATCCCTGCCTGCCTCTCACGCCTCTCACACCTCTCATACACTGCACTGTCAAATCAAAGACTCTCTCATACGAAAATACAAGCAGCTCTCAGAGCTGTTTCTGTTTTGAAGGACTCCAGCTGCACTTCACATACTTTTCATATATGACTGTCTTATGCTCAGTTGATTGCCCCAGAGCCATCTCATTCATGAAGTCTTTCATCGTTTCCCTCATAGCACCCACTTCTGTGGAAGGCATGTATTGAAAATCAGTAAATACTGGTTTGGACTGAATTCACTTCTAGACCCTTTAAAATACTAAAGCTATATATAAAATCACAGATCTATAGCTGGAAGAAATTTCAGAGACAATATAGCTTAAACTTTGCATTTTTAAATATAGGAAACCTTGGCATCCCAGCCTAACTATAATATCCTGCGCACATGGTTTATTTAGGATAAGGTGATACAGTGATAAAATTAAGTTAAAATCTCCTTGAAGTTCCCAATGTAGAAGTCATTAGTTTGTGTTAAATAGGGTGGATTATCTAGGTTGACCATATTAATTGCATAATTTTATAAAAATACAAAATGAACTTTTAAGTCTCTGTAATGAAATCATTCCTGTCTCCCTCCCTACATACGTGTTTTGTTTTGATATTAAGTATTCAGTTTGAAATGGATTCCTTTCTATTAGTTTAAAACTTTACCCATAAGCGTTCAAATAAATGCTTCATGAAAGAGGTAGAACTTGAGTTGGTCTTTGAGCATAGAGTCATATGCGGACACTCTGGTAGAGTAGATGTGGATTCAATCCGAGGAATAGCGTTACTTGTCATTAATAATGACTTTTCCTAAAATTTATTTCTATATGAACTCCAAATAGCCAGTTCTTTAATTTTGTTTTATATAGGAGGACCTCCAGTCACAAGTGGTAATATTTTATACCTTACATATGGCTGGGCCAATTAGAAAGAAAATTCAGTAAAGCTAAACAAACAAACATCATTGGTTGCTAAGCCTATATTTTTATAAATTTATCTATTCTGCATACAATGTTATTTTTCTCACGGTTGGTCTGCTTAATCACTACCACCACACAGAGGCTCTATAAATAGAACAACCATAAACAATCATAAACGGGCTATATAAACAGAACAACCTTTGTGGTATAATGAAAAGAGCATTATCTGTGTAAGATTCTGACAGACAAATCCAAAGTTTTCAAATTAATTAGCTGCAGGATTTTTTGATCAGTTAACTTCACTGAATCTCAGTTTCTACATTTTCAGAATAAATTAAAATATTAATCATGTTGAGAGATTCACAGAAGAAATTTATTTAGAAGCTTTGTATGGGCAAATTTCTATTCCTACAAATGTCTACCTGTACTGAAGCAACTCATTTGTTCTCTTTTAAGGAATTATAGGTTTTCCTTAATTAAGATTTTATCATGAGTCAATCTTGGGGAGAAAAAAATAATTCTTCCAGATTTGGAATAGCTATTATGAATTGTGAATGTATCTTATTTGAATGATTATTAATAAAAATAAAATATTTGGTTTCTCTTGCCTTTTAGGAGCCTAAGTTGCCAAAGGATTACCTTGCACAAAAATCTATTTTTCTCTTTTGTTTGTAACTCTATTGTAACAATCATTCATCTCACTGCAGTGGCCAACAACCAGGCTTTAGTGGCCACAAATCCTGTAAGTAAAATGAGGTTGTACCCTTAGGTTCAAGAGGTTAGAGGGAAAGAAATGTGAGTGAAAGGTGGTGCTGGGGTGGGGGGTCCTGATATATGTAAATATGTATAAATACTCATATATATATTTTAAGGTCTGACATCTAGAGAGTATATATATCTATATTCCAATCTATAAAGGTATATACATCTCAATCTTTCCCAAGTTATAAAGGAGGAATACATTTCTTTGCTTCAATTATTTATATATGTTATACATATCTTCACCTCATTTTATGGCTAGAGTCCTCCTGCTGGTGGGACTTACGGGTTTATGACCATGTAACATTTACTCAATCGAATTTAAAAAATCAATCAAAGCAACTAACTACAGATGTAGTTAGAAACACAAGGCATGAAAACAGAAAAATTTTAATTAAATTATATATTTGGGATCAGGTGACTTTAAATAGTTAATAAAATCAGGGAAAATGAATTGTACAGCCCCTATGTAATGTTAAAGTTTCTTAACATGAGACTTTTTTTTTTTTAAAGGACTCTACCAGGTCCTCAGTATCTCAGCAAATATTTATAAGTTGTTTCCTTATAATCCCTTTGGAAGCACAATTTGTTTTTAAGTTTTTTTACTGAAGTGTAGTTGACACACAATGTTACGTTAGTTTCAGGTGTACAACATAGTGATTCGACAACTTGATATGCTATGTTTACCACGAGTGTAGATACTATCCATCACCATACATCTCTTATTACAATACCATTGACTATATTTTCTTATGCAGTACCTTTCATTCCCATGACTTATTCATTCCATAACTGGAAGTCTGTATCTCCCACTCCCCTTTACCCAATTTGCCCATCTCTTGCTCCTCTACCCTCCATCCCTGGTAACCATACATAGTTTGTTCTCTGTATTTTGGGGTCTGTTTCTGGAAGCACAATTTTTAGGATGAGGATCAATGGATACATAAAAATAAGCACAGAGACTGTCATAATATAAAAGCCATATTTTAAAACATAACCTAAAATTTACTTATACAAGTGTATATATTTTATGCAAACTATATGCATATGTGAGTAAAGTATCTGCATAAATAACAAACATATTTTCAAGTATTTAAAATTATCTGCTTTCATAATGTTTATAGTATCCATACTACAGTTTTGGATATAGATTTGTGGAGGGGTGTATATATATATATATATATATATGGTGTACATAAAGTGGTTTTTTAAAGATTAAGTTATCTAGTAGTAACTAAATAAATTAGTAACTAGATTTCAGTAGAAATCATGGAAGGGAAGGAATTTTCACTCAGTGGCCTAATAAACAATACTCTCCTATGTGTTTTACGTGTGTTTCAGGGTAATTTCCAAAATCCTAAAATTCCCTGCATTGTTTGCACACGTGTATCCGGATTGCTTAATCTTGTGTATGTTCCACTCTAATGTCACTAGGTGAGGAAACACACTGGGATAGATTTAGCAACATAAAAAAACTGGCCAATGACCGACGACTTTTGAGTGACTTTCTCTAGAGCAAAGAGATAAGTTTCATCATGAAGCTACACAGCAAGAGATTCTAAAGCTTACACTTAGATATAAGGATATTGTGTTTAATGTACAAATTGCAGGCTGTAATATATTTTTAATATATTCTTGGAAAATTTATTGTTTGTTTATATCAGCAATGCCCTTCATAAAAATACTTTCCTGAAGCATGTTTTAAGTTCTTTTTATCAGAGTGACTTATGGATGAATTTTTTAAGTGAAATCAGGAGTAAGAAGTCCAGTTAGATATGCACGTCTAAAAACTATACCAGATAAAAACTTGAAGCTGAAGTCTGTTATTTCTATATAAATATAGTTGACTAACTCACTTTTACCCTTGAGAAGACTTTGTTAATATAACGTGATGTTTGACATCAAGATACTTTATTTTAAAGTTTAATGTTATGCATTCTGCCAATGTACTTAATGGAAGAATAGGTTTTATAAATGCCCTACGGGCAGAAGGCATTGTGTATAATCATGAAAACAAAATTGGAATTACAAGACTTGTGTTCAGGGTATAGCTTAGATTGATGTTGTATGAATATTAGCAAATCACTTAACTTCTCCAGTACTCAGTTTTCTATCTGTAAAATATGTGACTAGTGATAAATTATGTCACACAGAATTAAAGATTAAATAAAATAACATATTGAAAATATTTTAAGCTAACTAATGTGCACATGTCATGATTACTATTCTATGAGAACCCCAATATCTATTTTCTAGTGTATCTCCCTTCCAATTTTCTTTTTAGTGAAAAAAAATATTTATTTCAAAAATAATGATAATTGCCACTAAATATTTATTGACCACACTAGAAATTGGGAGCTGTGGGAAGTAAATGGCCATATGTTTCTGGGAGAGTTTTAAATTTATTCTCCTATTTAAAAAAAAATTTATTCTCCTTTCTAAGGGAGCAAAATATATCTCTTACTCCTTCATGTTTACTTTAGCCTGTATTTGAACCTTCCTCTTCTGATCTTTTTAAGAATAGAGAAGAGAAAGTGGGAATCTCAGAAAAAGAGGAAAGAAACCATAACTTTTTCTTCTTTTTACTTACATGAAATCCTCAACCTCATATTTGAATAATATAAAATATGGGCCCATTAGATTGTTATTTACTGAGTAATTGCACTGGTAGCAGTAATATGCAAGACTTTCAATTATTGGCCACTTTTCATGAAAAAAATGTATCTGGAAAAAACACATCCACTAACTGTAATAAATTTGGAATTTACACATTTCCTGGGAGGTATACCATTATAACTCTTTAGAGGCAGTGCTTAAAAACTTTATAGGAACCATTAGATCAGGATGAAGACTGGCATTTTACAAATCTGAATCATCAGTATATAAGATTTTGTGTAGAGGAGAGAAAATTCCAGGTCTCTATATAACTAACCTAAACTAGACTATTGCTTTACATGTGAATTCATAAACAACTAAATATTGATGGCTTTCTTTTTTTTTCTCACAGGTTAGTTGTAAAGTGTCTCAGTTCATTCATCTTTACCTCATGGGCTGTAACTACTTTTGGATGCTTTGTGAAGGCATTTACCTACACACACTCATTGTAGTGGCTGTGTTTGCGGAAAAGCAACATTTGATATGGTATTATTTTCTTGGCTGGGGTAAGTGCCATTACGCGTTTCTGCTGACTCACCTTTTAAGAAAGCTCTTAGAGGATGCAGAGCTCCTTTGTAATAAAAATATACTTATTATTAATCATTCTCAAACAACAGCAGGTGATTAACCTTTGCTTATTGCAGTAAATTGAAATATTTAAACAAAGAACTACTGACTCATGGTTTTCAGTAGTCACAGGTCAATAATACAATGTTGTTGGGTTTTTTTCTATTTAATATTTCAGTGTGTATCTTGGCTAAGTATGCAGTGGCTAACATGACAGAATTAGAATCATGAATTAGGGAACTAGTCTTCATATTGTTTGAATCTCTTTTTCCTTTGTGCAAAATGAGGGCGTTGGGCTTAGCCAGCTTTGAAATTCCACTCAAAAAAAGTTTGTTTTTAAAAAATGTCATTTTATCTTAAGAACAGAGGGGTCAGTAATTGAATAAAGGCACACAAAAGATCTATTTTTTCCACACAATCTCCTGACATGGTATTATTCACAATGCAAATAATGATACACTTCTAGCATATTTCCTTTTCTTTTTTTTCTGTTTTTTTCAGTTTTAATTTTAATTCCAGTTAGTTAACATACAGTATTATATTAGTTTCAGGTATACAATATAGTAATTCAGCACTTCCGAACATCACCCTGTGCTCATCACAGCAACTGAACTCCTTAGTCCCCGTCACCTATTTCACCCATCCCCCATCCACCTCCCCCTCTGGTCATCATCAGTTTGTTCTCTGTAACTAAGAGTCTGTTTCTTGATTTGTGCCTCTAGTGCATTTTTAAAAACAACTAGAATAATTCAAAATATAAAATGCTGAAAATGAATTCAACTGGACTAGTTTCTAGAAACATAACTGAAATTATAATTATCTATCATATATCAATCTACCTATCTATCCAGTCAGACAATAGATACAGATATATAAAGGTATGTACACACACACACACACACACACACACATTCTTTAGTATATTTAGTATAGGTTACCTTTATAAAACATGTCTTCATTTCATGTTGGAAAGATCTCATTTAGAATGCTAAAAACATGCAAAATATCTAATATATAAACCATCTCTCTCTTCCTCTCTTTTTCTTCATTGATCAGTCTCAACTTCTTCCCACATCCTACTAAATAAATATTGGCTGATTCCATATCATAGAAAATATATATGAATTCTTCTAAGCCTTGGGGCTTAGGCAGCACATTTATGGACTTAGGCTCTCAAGTCCACTGATTGAAAATGACTTCACACAGACACACAAACCTGGACATACAAATACCTAATATTTACCATATTTATTGTTTGACTATACAGAAAATATTTACTCATTAAACATATAGTGACCAGTTATTTTTGCTCCCAGAGTACCTGAGTTTCATATTTTATGACCACATTTTAGGAATTCCATCTACAGAGAAAGTTGCCTGTTAATTTTCTTTTTGTTTGATATTTGCAGGATTTCCACTGATCCCTGCTTGTATACATGCTGTGGCGAGAAGCTTATATTACAATGACAAGTAAGATAATCTCTCTTTCTGATTTCTATTGGAACTACATAAATGAAAATATCCAACATAATTTTGCTGTTTTTTTTCCCCAAGCTGCTGGATCAGTTCTGATACCCATCTTCTCTACATTATCCATGGTCCAATTTGTGCTGCTTTACTGGTACGTAATGAAAATTTTCCTTGTTTCATCATTGTTCATATTTCAACTTTATTTCCTGAATCATCTGGCCTATGGTATCTTTCAGGATCCTGGTGTACGTAAATGACATGTTCGCAGTGTTTAACTGAAGAGAGTTTAATAAAGGTGTTAATTTGAGGTATTTGCAGGAGGAGGAAGGGAGCTAATTCATAAGGAATGGCCAGGAACCAGGGACCTGCAGTGGGGAAACTGTTAATGGCTTTAGACCTAAAGAGGGGACAGAACAGTGTTTTGGGATTTGGGCCAGTGCTGGGAAGCATGGCCTTGAGTAGAGGAACATAGGCACTGCCCAAACCACAGCCTGGCAGGGAAGAAGAATGAGGAAGAAATACTCAAACTTCTCTTTTCCTATGCCCTGATTACTTGGTTCTTCCCTTTGGCCAAATGAAACAAATGTCAGAGAGCAAGAAGCCTGGGCAAGGGTGCAGTCTTTCGAGGTGCCTCAGAGTTTCCTGGGATGCAGAGCAGAACAGAGAAGGGTAGAGGATAGATCCAGTGAGAGGGAATGGCAAATGGGGAAAACTATACACCTATGTTGGTAATAAGAGTAATATTCCAATAAAGAAAAGACTTTAATTTGGAAAAAGAGAGTATTGGTTAAACTGTTGTTTTACTGTCATAAGGATCATCACTTAACACGAATACACCAATTGGACATTTTTAAGTGTGGTTACAGGGAAACAGAAGTCACATTCAGTGCTTTTATGACATTGTTTCAATGGGGAAATAAATTCATCCACATTAACAGGGTTTTTTTTTTCATAAAGCATTAGACACCAGAATGCGATTAATGTCTGAGATTATAATTACAGGTGATATTCAATTATACAGAAAAAGATAAAAGGGCTATGTTTCTTGGTCAAAATTCAGAGCTTCCTAATCCTTGTTTTCAAATTCTTTTTTTAGACAAGGATTCTTCTATTATTTTACTATATTTGCTAATTGCAGCTTAGTATACGATTATGTTAGAATACTGTTCGAGCCATTCTCAAAAGCATGTCACAATTCAGAGAAACTTCTGGAGGCTGAAGGCCTGGGCTTGAACACTTCTTCTACCTTTTACTTGCTGTATGACCCTAGGCAATTAAACTAATCACTCTACATTTCAAGTGCCTCATTGGTAAGATAAAGAATATAATAATAGTGATTTTTAATCTTTTAAACAAGGAGTCCAATGAGTTAACACCTGTAAAGGACTTCACCTGGCATGTATAAAGCATGTAGCAAGTGTCAAACTTCTGATTTGTGCCTGACCACATAAGCTCAAAAATTAATCCATGGAATTTATTACAGCAATTATAGAAAGTTTAACATAGCTTAATGTAGACTCTAGTGAGAATTTCCTAAGCAGAAGCATTTCCTTCCTTTCTGCCCTGCACATACTAGGGACATGCATGATACACCGGACTTAAGTTACACCTTGAGATGTCCTAGCTTTGTAATCTTAGAGCCAACATTGAAATCTAATTCTACCACATCTGGCTGTGTGTATCAGGGCAAGTTCTGTTTTTTGGGGGGTGTTTTGTTTTGTTGTATTTAACCTCTCAGTACTTTTGTTGTCTCTTCTGTGATTAGGGAATAATAATAGATACCTCATAGGGTATTGTAAGGATTAAATGAGACGCGTCTTGTCAACACAGTGCCTAGAATACAATAAACTCTCCCAAAAACGCTCTAAAAAGTTTCTTGTAATTTCTACATGATACCATGATTTTGCTCTGAGGAGTGTTCAAAGAAATAAGATATGTTGTTTGGGCCACCCAGGAACTTACAGAACAAATATAAGGCAAAATTTTATTACAAGAGATCTGACTGATTCTTCAGAGGGGTAATTCAAATGCTTAAATCAGAGAGGTTCAGGAAATTAAGTAAAAGCACCTAGCAAATAAAAAATGTAATTGCAACTAACACAATCCTTGGAAAAGCCCCTCCACATCAATTTTGGGAGGGAAGAGTAGATGGTGCAGTTAAGGGTAGAATATCACAGGGCGCCTGGGTGGCTCAGTTGGTTAGGCGACTGCCTTCGGCTCAGGTCGTGGTCCCGGAGTCCTGGGATCGAGTCCCACATCGGGCTCCCAGCTCGGCGGGGAGCCTGCTTCTCCCTCTGACCTTCTCCCCTCTCATGCTGTTTCTCTCTCTCTCTCTCAAATAAATAAATAAAATCTTTAAAAATAAAAGCATAGAATATCACATAGAAATATAACCCATCAAGCTAATCTAAAATAAAGAAAGTGAAAATCCACATTATTTGCCTAAAACATTTTCCATTTTCTTGGCTTAAAAAAGAGCAGGAGCCTGTTTTTCTAACACGATAAATTGTTCTGTCTTTGTTTGAGTTCTAGGGCTCCTCACTGGTTCTGGCCGATTCCAAGGTCTTGGGAGGGGCCTTAGCAATTGTTTATATGGTCACATGCTTAAGTACAACTTTTATAAATAAAATATTTCAACCTCAATCAGTTTCTTTCCACTCAGACTTCCCCTGTCACATTTCCTCTTGAGCAGGATGGTATCTGAGTGGCCACAGCACTTTTGAGATCTTGCCAAAGGGAAGTTGAGAGAGGATACATTTAATTGGTGTATAGTGAGAGATTTTTAAGTCAGTTCAGTTAAGTGATTGCTGGCCGTTCTAGTCTGGGAATGGATTCTAGGAATCCTTCTGCCGTCACTGTGCTGAGGTACACTGCTTCCTTTCATGACCCGAGTGTGGGATCATGAGATGAAAATGTCCTGTTGTGCCTACCAGTTACATGATCTTTATGAGTATTGAAATAAAAACAGATTTCTTTTCTTCCCCTTAACTAGTTTTGCTCAAAGATAGATGAGATTCAGATATAGGTCATCTGAAATTTAAAATTCTTATTCAATTCCTATTCAAAATAAATGGAAGTATTTGCAGAAAATAAAGTAGGATGACTTTCTAGTTTCTAGTTTCACATTTTAAATCAGATTTGCCATTTTGGAAAAGCACTTTGCATTTAGAGATTTTCATATAATGAGCATCTAAATTGCAACATTTCTACTGATTTTATAATTTATGATTTTTGCATGTAAGGATTATAAAATATTTTATATTCTAAATTTATAAGCAGATAAAAGGACATTATTATATTTTCTTTCATGGGCTGGTAGTAATTTCCATTTAGTCAAAACTTTGCAATAACCATGAGTGCTAAGGGAACATAATAGGATGGGTGGAAAAACAGCTGATGTGTTGATTTGTCATGTTTCATTCTTACACCTGTTGAAATGGCTTATTCTGCTTTTGTCCTTAGCAGAGACATTCCTGCGTCTATAACCATGTTACTTTTCATAGATGTGTTTCCATCGGGATTGTGGTGAACTTTAGAGCACATGTCCCATTAGATTCTCTAAGAATAGTAGTGGAATATTTTTATGCCCAGTTATTTTCATAACACATGTCTTAAATCAGCATATGTATGTTATTTGTTCATTGTTTTCTATATTAAATGAGGGGCTATCATTATTATTCCAATTTATTAAGGTAAGCAGATATAAATTACTTATCAGGATGTAGTTTAAAAGCTTTAGGTTATTAAAGCACAGATGCTAGAAGTCAGGGTGAAGAAAAAGGAAAGAGAATATAGTATAATGACGTAAGAGCCCTCAGGGGCTCTTCTGGAGTTAATATCCATAATCTTATTGAAGGCGCAAAATATGGGCACAGAAAAAATAGACAAGCATAAAAGATACTGACTTGGATGAAGATAAGAAAGTAGTATTCAAAGTGAGAGAGAGAGCGAGACAGATATATTAAAGCAGTACTCTGTTTCCTGAGTGACTTAGTTATCCACACTAAATTTTTGAAGTTTTATATCTCCCTTTCAAAGAGAATGATTTCTCTTGGGAAAAGTTTTTAACACACAGTAAATATGTAATTACAGAAAGTAATTAACAGATGGCCCTGTGGGATGCCAAAATTGTTTTAACTCTAGGATGATCTAGGTTGAACATCAGCTGGTTTTAGTGTGTGATCAGCCTCCTTAGAATGATAAAGAAGTTTACAGTACTATCTCAGGAGTTGTGAGGATTACTGTTACAAAAGGAAACACAGGAAGGAGAAACAAAAAGATGAAAATGGTTATTATGGTATAATATGTATTTAGAAAGTACTAGTATGGACGGTGATAAAGAGGAGACACTTAAAAAAATTAGCATTTGTTATAAACAATTCTTTCCTTTGTTTGAGCTGAAAATATTCAAAAGACTTAGTTTTTGGACCATCGCAAAATTCAAAAAAACTGCATAAGAAAATGAGCTGAGAAAAACACTTAGATATTCCTTAACTGATTGTGTTCCACAATAATTCCACCATAATTCTATTTTTCTAAAACTAAGTCCACTAACATTGATGTGCTTGTTAAATTAATAAATCACAATTCTAGAAATACAAATTAATATATTAGACATATATTCTCTGCAGTAGAACATATTCTTGTACATTGAAAATAATCTACAACTTATAAAATCAAAGATCCTTCAGTAATGCTTCTTAGCATTAAATATTAAACAGTTTTCAATATGCCATTTTATTTTTTTAGGTGAATCTTTTTTTTCTATTAAATATTGTACGTGTTCTCATTACCAAGTTAAAAGTTACTCACCAAGCAGAATCCAATCTCTACATGAAAGCTGTGAGAGCTACACTTATCCTGGTGCCGTTACTTGGCATTGAATTTGTGCTGATTCCGTGGCGACCTGAAGGAAGGATTGCAGAGGAGATATATGACTACATCATGCACATCCTTATGCACTATCAGGTATGGTGTTCTTGAATCAGGAAGGCAGCTTGTGAAGTTTGGTATTAAATTGCATATAGCTTTGGTTTAGTTTTGACTATGTATGTAGCAAGTTGGTTACAAATAATATATCTTTTCCATTTGGAATCAGAAAATTCTGTTTTTCTTTTACAGGGTCTTTTGGTTTCTACAATTTTCTGTTTCTTTAATGGAGAGGTATGGTGATTATTTTTATTCCTTTTATCGTTTTATATTTGCAATGTATCTTTTTCTTAAAAAGAAAGACAATTATACATTCCCCAGGAACAACTACTTCAAATTCCATTTTGATCAGGAAAAAAACGAATCTCTTTTCATGGATGCAACTCTTCTTCCCAAAAGCTTGTGTCATACTGGAGTTCAAGAGTAGGGCAAATCCAGCCTCACTTTAAAATAGTCCATCAGTGACTTTTAGTCATGTAGCCTTTGACCTACCTTTTGCACTAATCCTGGTAAGTCCGGCCTTTGTCGTAGGTACAATGCTAGTCAGTCCTTAACCTCATAAAACATACACTCTAATAGGAAATAGAATTGGCTCATTTTCATTTTCCCCCTTTCTCTATTTTTTGTTTTGCCTGGCGCACAATGTGGTTTGGAAAACAGTTTTATGGTGGTTACAAAAAGATTTTAAAGAATTAAACTCTCAGTTATACAGGGAGGGCATGCAGTAAGTTAGAAAACTGAGGAGAACAGAATGCTGTAATTTGTAACATGGCAATGTGCTCTTGGATATTTCAAGATTTTTATCCAAGGCTTTCCAAGTAAGAAAGTTTCAGGTGTTTTAGAAACTGGTACCAAGTTTCTTATGCATATGAATAGTGTTATAGCTCAGTGGTTTGAGCTATACTGATTCAGCTCTTTAACTGTTTTTAATCGATTTGACAAATTTTAACCGATTGGAGGATTTTGTAAAATTCAACAAAGTTTAGAAATCCAGACAGCAACCGAGTGAGGCTCAAATACTTGGTAACTGTGAAGCTTATCGCAAAGCTTCAGATGGGAAACATATGGACCAGTAGGTGTGACATTATGAGAACTATTTCTAAAAAATAAATCAACATTGGAAATCATGTACATGTCATGAAAAACTATAAAATATTGCTCTCCTTTGCTTAATAATCGTTTACTTCTTTCTCTTAGCACATGATGAAATTTCATGTTTGATTTTATTAAATTGATTTTTTTAATTTTTATTTCATTTATTTAATTATTTATAATGGAGTGTAGAACTGTCAAACATAGTAGGCTATATTTCGTATCTTTAAGTGGTGCTTCCGTGAGTCTTCTGTTATACAGTGGACAACAGTGACTTTTTCTGAAGTCAATGAGAAGTACAGATGCAAAATGCAATGAGGAAGAATAGATAAATCATTTGTTTTGATAATAAAATTCAAATAGCATTTATTATGTACTTCTATAAATTTATGATTGCATGAGCTGAATTAGACAATCCTATTTGCTGCTTATATGGGATTTTACAATTAAATATAGATGAGAGAGAAATGGACAACATGCCAAAGAACAGGCATACAATATGAACAATATACCTCTCCACGTGCAGAAACAGATTTCATTTTAATAAAGGGTAATTTCTAAATGTATTAATATAATACATTGTAAAATATTTTGTGATAGGAAGCAGTGTAGAATAAAAGCATAGATACAACAATGTGTTTTTACCCCAAAGATGCCACTTTGTTCCTGATGCTGTAATACTTCGGGCAATATTCTGAGCCTCCTAGAGTCTCAGTGTCTACTTTTATTAAAAGGAAATAAAAGCAAGTTCCTTACACAATCTCACAAAGATTAGTGTAAGCTAGGAATCTAAAGCTTTTAGCACCATGCCCCACCCTTAGTAGATTACCAGTACATTATAGATTCCTTACTAGATCTGTCAAATCGTTCATTTTCAAAAATACATGCACAAATGGAAGCATTAGTCATATTGGAGTCAATCTCAAATTGGACTTTTTATTTGGAAAGGTTGCCCAGGGAATATCTAAACTAATGCCTAATACTCTTATTGCACTCTCTGTGTAACCAAAAGAGACCCAGACCTTGATCTTCTGCCATGTCCTAAAATTGAGAAAATTTGGGCAGTAAAAAATTACAATAATACAAAATCTTTTGAGCCTAGTTGTTGCCAAATCCTTTGGTTCTTTACAACATCTCCAATATGTGTCCCCTTTTCTTCATCTCTCAAGATACAGTCCCTATTTGTGGATGACTCATTTCTCATTTTAAGAAATACTATAATCCCTCCTTTTTTGTCTCTTTGCCTCTTAGTTTTTCCCACTCTCATAACATGAAGGCACAACTGCCAGATTCATTTTGTGTGGTTCCAACTATGTCACGTAGTTCTCAAAATCATTTGCTCAGGCTTACGTTCCCTTCTTGCTTTCCGTGGGAGGTCAAGTAGCTTCCCTTTAGCGTAGTCTCTACTTTTCTTTTTTTGACTCTCACATTTTGTTTATTTTTTAGCCAAAATATTCCTATTTGCATTTCTCACTAGTTAAATAATTGTGGCATGACAAGTGCTCAGGACACATTCATCTCATCTCTAGCCCACTCAGCCAAATATGGACTGTTAGCATAAACTAGAGATCTAGTTATTAGAAGTGCCCTCCCTAGCCTCAGGGGTAAATCTAACAACACCCGAGAGAGATACTTTTATAAAGTGAACAAAAAGATTTATTGAGAATAACCAAACCTATATTTTATAATGAGACCTAGGTAGCATTTTTATATGAAGCTCTATTAACTATTTTTTAACTAATTTAGGTTAAGGAATATAGAATTGATTCCTTATTAAGTGCTAATGGGCATATAAAGTTGTAATGTTACATTATAAAAACAGTTGGCCTTACTATTTGTATAGCATTTACATTTTCATATCTTTAATAACATCAGGTTATCTTCCCTTCCAACTGCAATTTTCCTTGTTGTCTTTCCCCATTACAGTTTTCTCATTAAAGGTGTATTAAGAGTGGCCACTTTAATGTTCTGTTGAACAAGTATGATATTGTATTAGAGGAAGCAGATGAAAAACAAATCCTTATAGAGAATAATATAAACAAACAGATCCTTACAAGGCCAATGGGTCTTTAATTAGTTTCATTTTTAACTTCAGTAAGTCCCCAGAGTTCAGGAAATTGAACTTCCATGGTTTTTCTGATGATTTGGTTGGAAGGAAGAAATAGGGTGATGATTGTAATCAAAGCAGATATTTCAAGAGCAGTCAGATATTTCAAAAGTCATTTTGACTGTTGGAATTGAATTTAAGCTTTCATTTTCAAGAACATAATTATTACATTCACAGCTAAGATACTTCTTCTTGTCAGCTGCTTCTCAACATTTATGTAGAATCTTTTGTATAAAATTACATTCTATTTTCTTTCAAACAGAAACTATATAGTAAATGTACTCAGTCAGTCCATCATTTAGTAACAAAGTGAAGAGAAATGAATTTAGCAGAAAATCAGGATCAAAAACAATTCCCATCAGAAATATCTAGAAAATTGGCCAAAAGTCATTTTTGTTGTAAATTTTTGAATATTTATTTAAAAAGCACAGTCTAAAGCCATTCCATTTGTCATTTGCTTATGCTCATGAAGATATTACATATGCAGACATTATTTTTAAATTACTTTAATTTAAACATGCTATTTGGAGAATTAAGAAAGACATTACTAAATCATGAGGGAAGCAGTAGTATATACTTTTTTGCAAGATAAATGTATTTGTTGTCCTATAAATGCTTTTATTTCAAAGAAAATTTACAAGAATATAAATTATTCCCTTCAGATACAGTTTATATGTGTGTGTGTGTGTGTGTATATATATATATATATAAATATATATATATATATATATATATATAAGCTTGAAAGTCCTGAAGTTCTGAATTTCATAAAAATACATTTAAAACACATTTATTGCATTTCTAATTACATAATTAATACCTGAAATTCTAATAACTCATTTTGAATTCTAACTAAAGAAACCCATTAACTTTGTATTTGTGTCTTCCATTTTTCTACATGTTAAAATATAAAGTGAGACAGTAAAACTTTGTGTTCATTTTAAGTGACAGAATACAGGAGACTCTAAAAGGACTTTGAAGTATCCCACAGAGTCCTCTCATTAAAAGAGCTCCTGGGAATACCTATTAGTAATAGATTGTTCATAATTTGGAGAAGTTTTCTAGATTTATTAGACAAAAGAATGTAGACTTAAATAAACCAGCCCTATTTTAATATTTATATTTAATATTTAATATTAATTTTTACACATGAATACAGTGAATGAAGAGTTGAGGAATTCTATATAATTAGTAGCAAGGTAGACAATTATTGCATGAGTATATTTCTAGTACATGGATAATTGGAAAATTGCTTTTAGTGATGCTCAGATTGCCTCTGAGGAACAATCAAAATGTCAAAGAGCAGTTGAGAGCTTGGGGAAGACAATTCAAAGCTAGACATGTTTTGGACAGACCTAACTTATGTCACAGGCATGTGGCTAGTTCACTCGTAAAGTAGGAGGAGATAGCCCCACACTGGTCTGCCCAAGCATCAGACACCTGGAAATATCCAGGTTACCAAGTGGGAGATGTATTTGAATATTCTCATTTCCACTTACTAAGTCAATAGGAAGAAAATCCCCTTAGTGTCTCATGTTCAGTTAAAACCAAAGTCACTATATGTGGTCTACCAGTCCTGATCTCTAGCCCTAGAGGAGAAGGAAGTCATTAAATATCAAATTCACCCAATCAGAGGGGGATCCAAACACAAAGAAGTGGAGTGGTGACATTCCTAAACCTTTTCACAGGCTTATCCCATTTGTAATTACCTGTTCAACACTTTCTTCCCTCTGGGTAGTAAGTTTCAGGAGGACAAAAACCCTAATTTTTTTTTTCCAGAATGTAGCACAATACCTGGCACATGATAATCACTCAATAAAAAGTAGTTGCTGCTATTAATGATGATGATGAAAATTTGTAGTCCTTGTATCCCTAACTTCTTTTTTTTTTTTACCTCTTTTCTCTCTCCTTTTGTACTCTCACTAATTGTCTTCTCATTCTATTATTAAGATACTGATATAAAACTAAATGTTACACAAGCAAGCTTGCAAATGGGGGTCTGGGTTAACTACTTATTTGACAATAATACATTCATATGCATTATTAAAGCTTCAAAGATAAGGCATAAAAATATTAATGGGATCTAAGAGTAAAGAGTAATGCAATGAATTTCCTAAATATAAATTTCTTAATGTTCTCAATTTAATTCTTTTAATTAAGAAAATAAAGCAGTATTATTCACTAATTAACATCAATACTTTTTTTTAAGTTTTACATAAATCATTTTATTGTACTTTTAAATACAATATCTTTATTTCAGATAATGGATTATTCTTGTCCTTTCTGTTTCTTTTTGATTGACAGGTTCAAGCCATTCTAAAAAGAAATTGGAATCAATATAAAATCCAATTTGGAAACAGCTTTTCCCATACAGATGCTCTTCGAAGTGCATCTTACACAGTGTCAACAATCAGTGATGGTACAGGTTACAGTCATGACTGTCCTAGTGAACACTTAAATGGCAAAAGCATCCATGATATTGAAAATGTTGTCTTAAAACCAGAAAAATTATATGATTGATAATTGAGGGAGTACTGCTTAACTATTTTGTGCCACTCCTAACTAAAGGACTTGGATCTATGGCTTTACAACCAGAAGACTTCAATATTCAATGAATTTCTTGAATGCCACAAAGAAAACCTTCACATCAATTCAGTAGTGTGTTGTTAAATGTTTAATAACTAGCTCTTTGGGGGAAAAAAGAAACCCTGATTTGTAATGTTTTCCAGTTTCTGTGGTGTATTCCCACCATGGCTGATTTTAGGCTACCAATTTGACATTGCTGAATGTGAAATTGGGAAAATATCAGTACAATCAACTCTTATAGGCTGGTATGTACCAGCTCTAGGACACCACGGCATGAATTCACAAATGAGTAAGACTGTAAAAGTTCATATACACACTGGGCACAATTCTACTCTTACTGACTAAAAAGAGCTAGGTAAGACCTCCAGACTTGGAGGGAAAATTAGCTTTTCATTTGTTTGTTTTTAAAATTTTTATCCCATATTCATTGGTGCAGTTGTTTTTTTTTTAACCCAGTAAATCTTCTAGCCCTTTTTGTATTTACCCTTTCAAATGGACTGGATAAAGAAGTAATTATTTTCCAAGAAAAGTGACTGAGCAGAACTGCTATTGTCTACTCTTTGGCTGATACATCATAGTCATATCCAATATTATATCTGTTTTTGAAATTTGATGAACAGTATGTAGGACATGCAATCCTACCTTGCTATCATTAGGGAGACATCTTGGTTGATATTACAAACACCTTGTCAGCTACTTTCCTATCTTACTACACAAGTGGGAGGGAATCAGTTTCCCTGTATCTGTAAATAGAAACTTTGGCCCTTCCATTTCTACTGTGTAGACAAATTCGCAATTATTTTACATGAAGGAAATCAGTGAAGGATTTCTTATTTTCTTGGAAGTTTGTAAAAAAAAATTGTGAAAATAAGCTTGTAAATACTCTGTTATTCTATTTTATAGTCTCAAATCAAATACATATAATCTAGATAAGTTTTTAAAAAAAACAAATACATAATGTAACAATGTATGCTTGTTAATATCTGATACTGTGTCTGGGCTGATTTTATAATAAAATAGAGTCTGGAATTCTATATTGGGTAAATATTTTAAAGACAACCAGATGCCAGCATCAGAAGTTTGTTTGAGAACCAAGAGAACAGAAATATCTTTGATATGATATAAAATATTTATTAAAAAAACTCAAGGCCACTGTTTTATTACATTAGCTTAGATGATTCTTTCATAACTTAGTAGTACGTATGTTTGACATATTTCTCCTTTTATTTTGACGATGAACTTTCATTCTAATCCAGAAATTTTAAAGGATTCCTACAGTAATAAATGTCAGTCTGCCATTCTTACGGTTTTTACACCAGTAAAAATATTACTTTTCTGACTCTTACTGTATAAATATATATGGATTTGGAAATGTTCCAGACTATTAAAAAAAAAACTAGAGGAATACTATATATATATATACATATATATCATATAAAATGCTTTAATAGAGCTATTATGATAATATGATACTAAAAATCAGTGAAAGACTTTAATATATCAGTGAAGAAGAATTGTCAGAATGTTTAGGGAGTAATTCAGTTAAGATGGAAGAAAGCCTTACTAATGAATTAAAGTGACATTTAAATGGGATTCAGTTTCCCTAATGTTATTTTCTACTCAAATTTCTGAAAAACGAAAATGCCTTAAATTAGTAAAAGTCCATTTGAGGAGGAGAAATCACTATGTGTATGTGTTTTCCCAGTGTGTTAATTTGTTTAAAATGGATTAAACTAATGACTTAGTAATCATAGCTTTTCTTTTTTTTTTTTTTTAAGATTTTATTTATTTGACAGAGAGAGACACAGCGAGAGAGGGAACACAAGCAGGGGGAGTGGGAGAGGGAGAAGCAGGCCTCCTGCAGAGCAGGGAGCCCAATGCGGGGCTCAATCCCAGGATCCTGGGATCATGACCTGAGCCGAAGGCAGACACTTAACAACTGAGCCACCCAGGCGCCCCAATCATAGCTTCTTTCTTAAGCTGTCAGTAGATTGTGAGTTCAGAAGTCATTTCAAATTGTCCAGGAAAATTATCTAAATTAGTAAGAATTAGCATATTAAATAGTCTGGTCAATAGATTTATAGTTTATCTGTATACATGCAAAGGTTTTACTATTAGTTTCAAATTTGTGGATTTTATAGCAAGCTATCTTAAGAAGGAATGCAGGCTGTTCTGGATTTGCTACTGTTTAAATTACACAAAAATTCCTTTAAATAATCTCACTTTTTAGCTACTTATTATTCAAAGACAGATTCAAATCCTTTGTTTGACACTGTTCACATATTTCTTCATTCTTCCAGACAAACTGTCAAGTCTCAACCATAAATGACAGTAGAAAATGTCAAACTCTCCATGAGCATTCTATTAAAATTATTCTGTAATTTTCCATTATTTTTTATTGTGCTTTTATCATATTAGGTTCAGATCAGATTTCCCTTCTGGCCAAGAATCATCTATTGCACAGTCTTCAGGTGAAAGAATCCAATAATTACTTAGTGTTAGTTTTGTACCCATATTTTTTTATGAGTAATGTTTTTAAATATTAGACTTCTCTAAAGCTGAAGTGTTAATTAAGATCTCCTTTATGTCTTACTTATGAAGAAAAGATAAAATCAATACTTTTTAAAAGGAAACTTTTTTGGTATCTACTAAAAACTAATTGGGGGAATTTCTAACTTTCAAAATGGAGATCTGCTAGTTTTCTGTGAGTACTTGTGAAAAGTTACATTTTAATTAAAAAAAATTCTAATCTGTCCTTTTTGAGTTTTCTGAAGTTATTTTCCAGTGCATTTATTTGTAAAATACCCATTCTGGAATTTGGTGTTTGCTCAATTGTAATCCAGTGTACATAGAATTAGTGGTAGGTGTAGTGCTGTAATTATTGCTTATAATTTTTTTAAATGTGAATTTATTTTAATTTTCTTTTAGTTTTAATTGGCTAAGAGAAACCACCATTTCTTTTACCTGTAAGTCATAAACAAGATATTCTGATCAATTAAAATAAGTCATGTTATGTCTACTTAATGTATATCTCTATTTTTTGGTTGTATGAAAATATTAAAGGTGTGAGTTAAAGTTGATTTCACTCATGTGTACTGAAGTGCTGAATAATTTATAAACATAATTCTTTACAGTGGTTAGTGGAATACTACTTAAAATCAATAACTCTATCTCTACTACTCTCTTTAAAATCTTCAATAAGCCAGTAAAACATCCCAAAAACCAATTTTTTAAAAATTATGAATTTAAAAAAGATTATGAATTTGTTTTCCAAGCTAGAAAACTCCAAATAAACTTCAATATACCCAAATTCCTTCCTAGGCTGAAAGAATGGAAAGGATGCCCAGAAATAGGAAAAGGTACAGGGATTTCTCTCCTCTTTCCATTATATTCCATTGTGTAGTTTTGTTTTGAATAGCAGAAAGAAAAAGAAGGAAAGGAACTATTTAAAGATAATTTTTAAAAAAAGAACATAATCATGACTCACAAATATAAAATGAAAACATGTCAAGATATTTGTTTAGTTCATTCATTAACAGGGGGACAAGATGTTACAACAATTCATGGAAGAATGTAAAATATCACACATATACAAGAATATAAGAAATGCTGAAATGAATTTATAAATAAATGCTCTACTCATAGGGCAATAATGGGTTGCATTCTATTGAATAACTAATGTGTATTTCTATGATCAAGAATAATGTACATCATGATCAGTTTTCTGTAACTAACATATCTGTAAAATAGCTCAAAAATAATGAAAGGTAGAGATAACCCCAAAGGACATACTAGAAAGCACTAGAAAGGACACTTTAATGACTCTAACATATATTTTGCCTATACAATGAGAGAATAATATGATGCATATGCAGTAAGTACAATAAATATGGGTACATATGTACACATATATACAGATGATAGATATGGACACATTTGAAATGCTAACCCAAGCAGTAGGAGAATTCAGAAATCTTGCAATCCACAGAGTAAATGTATACAGATCAATATGTCCCATATATACCTACAACAACCAGGTAGAAGCTGCAGTGGGGTAAAAAAGAGCAAATTTATAGCAGCATCAAGAGAAAGTAAAATATATAGGAACAAATTAAGTAAGAAATGAGTGAAATACATTTCAACACTATAAACAATCGCAACAGAAGACATCAGTCAGATCATGGAAAGACACCTGATGTTCTTGAATAGGAAGATCACCATAAAGATGTCAATTTGCCCCTAAATAAATTGTATAGTACCTATGATCCAAATAAACATAATGGTAGATAATTATTTTGAAACAAGACATGATGATTCTAAATTTCATAGTCATGAAAGCTCTAAACAAGGAGAGAAGTCTTGACATATTTTTTTTTTTAGATTTTATTTATTTATTTGAGAGAGAGAATGAGATAGAGAGGGAGAGCATGATGGGAAGAGGGTCAGAGGGAGAAGCAGACTCCCCGCTGAGCAGGGAGCCCAATGCGGGACTCGATCCCGAGACTCCAGGATCACGACCTGAGCCGAAGGCAGTTGCTCAACCTACTGAGCCACCCAGGCGCCCAAGCCTTGACATATTTTGTAACCTAACAGTTAAAACAGTGGTAATAGCACATGAAAAAAGGACAGACAGAATGGAGGAGCAGTGTGTAGACCACTCTAGAATATTTTGCTGGAGACAGAGCCAAAAATGGTAATCCAAATAGGGAGTGAAATGACATTACCACCCAGGGAATCATTCTTTCTTTTCTTTTCTCACTTTCTCTTCTTGAAAAACATGCCATCCCTGGAATACCAGGTATAAGAAATGGGCTTACTAACAAGTCACATGACTGGTATGACTGCTGTCTTGGCTTTAAAAGAGTAAATGTGTTGAAATGATCACCTGGTAAGTATAGAAGTCTGCGGAAAAAAGGAGGAGGATGCTTCTCATTAATTTTTGGGAAAGGAGTGGAGATGCCAATTGGCCAATTGTCCGTTTCAAGTTACAAGTAAAAGCCTACAAGTATAAACATAAGAAGACTTGGCATATAATGGCTTATGCTCATACCCAGGAACTATACAAGTCTTTTGGCTGTATTTCCCTTTCTGATGATGGACCTTGCCTCTTCTGTGTCCACCCCTAGTGTCAAGGAGTAGCTGTGGGACCATTGTTTATACAGAGAAGTGGATAGATTCAGGTATGCATGCTGAAGGGTGCACTTAGATCTGTATGGGAGGCCCCGCCAGTGCAAGGAGAAGCTGAGGATGGGCAGAAAGGGGTTTCTGAGGCCAGGGACCAGTTCACCCAATACCAACACGTCCCTGCACAAAACTCTAAGAATTCTGAGAAACCTAAATTTGAAACTAATCCACGGGCGCCTGGGTGGCTCAGTCGTTAAGCATCCGCCTTCGGCTCAGGTCGTGATCCCGGGGTCCTGGGATCAAGTCC